AACCATATTTTAATTAAGGTCTTGGATCCATTTGTTAGATAGAAGCTGTTGAGTGATAACTAAGTATTGACCACCTCCCTGGTGGGACTAATTTGTTTATCTTGCTGTTAGATCTTTACTGTTTGTGGTAATGGGGAACCCAGGCTTTGCAGCTTTCAGGAGGGTTTAAAGGAGTCCTCTGGAGAGACGGTCAGTGGTATCTTTGTTGTTACCCCTCTGTGGAGGTTTGAAGCAGGTTGGGAGAAAGGGCAGGGACTTGACCCCTCAGCCCAGAGGTGTCTGCAGTGTCAGCAGAGGAAGTCTGGGTATGATGAATGTGAATGGAAATGTGGGGAATTTGGCAAGCCTGAGACTTGCAGAGATACTGGGGTCACTTGTGTCAGTCAATAAGAATTATTAAGCACTTCTTGAATGCCAGGCACCATGCTAAGCACTGATGGTGATAGAAAGACCAAAAACAAAGTTCTGTCTCTCAAGGAGACATGTTCTAATGAGGGAGACAACATATCAATAGCTAGGTACACTCAACATATATATACACACACGTGTTAATATATACACGTGTGGGTATTTATATATACGTATATGTATATGCTTATATATATGTATACACACATATACAGACTATATAGAGAGCAATTGAAAGGGGAGGCATTCACATCTTGGGGGACCAGGAAAGCCCCTTGCAGGTGAACTATAGGCTGAGTCTTTTTTTTAATTTAAATTTTTTTTGTTACATTTTAAGTTCTGAACTGTTTTCCTCCATCCCTCCCCACCTTGCACAAGAGAAGACCCCCATTGACACAGATTTATAAATATATGTAAAACCATACTATTCGTAATTCTATTAATCAGTTCTTTCTCTGGAGGTGGATAACATCTTCCTTCCTAGGTACTTTGTAATTGATTTGAGCATTTATAATACTCAGAATAACTTGGTTGTTCACAAGTATTCTTCAAACAGTATTGCTGTTACTGTGTACAGCATCCTCTTGGTTCTTCTCATTTCACTTTTCATTATCTCATGCAAGTCTTTCCATGGTTTTCTAAAATCAACCAGTTCACCATTTCTTACACACAGTAGTATTCCATCACAATCGTATACCACAACTTGTTTAGCCATTCTCCAATAGATTGGGCTGAGTCTTGAAGGAAGATAAGGAAGCTAAAAGGCAGAAGTGAGGAGGGAGGGCATTCCAGGCATGGGGCACAGCTTGTGCAAAGGTATGGAGATGGGGTGGAGTGTTATATTTGAGGGACTACAAGCAGACCAATGTCACTAGACCATAGAGAGTGAAGGGGAGTAAATCTGTAAGAGGATTGGAAAGTAGGAAGAGACCAGGTTATGAAGAGCTTTAAAGGCCAAATGAAGAAGTTAACATCTGATCCTGGAGGTAATAGGGAGCCACTGGAGTTCACTGAGCAGGAGTGACATGCTCAGCCCTTCCTTTAGAAAAACCACTTTGGGGGCAGCTAGGTGGAGCAGTGGATAGAGCACCGGCCCTGAAGTCAGGAGGACCTGAGTTCAAATCCGGCCTTAGACCAAACACTTGACACTTACTAGCTGTGTGACCCTGGGCAAGTCACTTAACCCCAATTGCCTTAAAAAAAAAAGAAACAAAGAAAAAGAAAAATCACTTGATAGCTGAGCAGAGAATGGGCTGGAAGAGGGGGAGAATTGTGGCAGGGAGACCAATTATGATAGCCCAGGTGAGAGGTGTATTTTCACACACACACAAACACACGCACACACGCATGTATGTATATGTATATATGTATATGCGTATATATGTACATGTATGTGTATATTTATGTGTATATATACATATACATGTATGCATGTGTGTATATCTATCTATCTATCTATCTATCCATCTATCTATCTATCTATCTATCTATCTACCAAGTCCAAAACCAGGCTGGTGTCTATGTGAATGAAGAGAGAAGGACATATGTGACTGATGTTGTGAAGGTAAAAACAAGATTTGGGAACAGATTGGATATGTGGAGTGAGTGACAGTGAGTTATAGATAACCCTGCAGTTGCAAGCCTTGAGTAATTGAGAAGATGGTGGTACCAGCAATAGGGAAGTTCAGAGGGGATTTTGGAGAGAAAAGAATGAATTCTGTTTGGTACATGTTGAGTTGGAGATATTTATGGGGCATCTACTTCAAGATGTGCAGGAGGCAGTTGGAGATGCCCAGCCACCAGGTGCCCCTGATGGTGAACAGTAGAGGATGGTAAAGTTTTGACTACTCAGGGGTTTCCCTATAACAGGCCTGCACAATCTGGGGCCTGCCAAAGGATTTCAGGTGACCCTTGAAAGATGTAGAGAAAAATATCCTCTACATTTTTCACAGGCCACGCCTCAGGACACAGGTTGTACAGGCCTGTCCTATAGCATTGTTTATTATATTTTAGGATTTGGTAGAGCCACTAAAAGGTAGTAAGTAACAGAACCTTCTTCTTAAGCACTTCCATATCAGGGCATATAATACTATCTATCTCACCTCAAAGGTTCAAACAAGGTTTTCCCCTGAGGCTGATCCTTGGGCAATCTCTATTTTTTGAGAAACTCTGAGGGTCTCCCCCTCCCAAATTGATTTTCTTGTGAAGGCTAACTAGGTCTTTTGCCTCCATTCTTACCTAACCTTAATTACTGAATGGGTATTGCCTCGGACAAACAGACCTGGGAAAGACCTCGGCTTGAAAAGGCCAAGGTCTCCCACTGTACTGGGGCCATCTCCAGTCATCTTGACCTATTCTTGTTACTGGACTCTGATGACTCTGGAGGAAGAGTGGGGCTGATGACTTTGCACAGCCCTGCCTCACTTAAATCCAATTCACTTGCAGGTCAAGGCATCACCCTCCCGATGTCATTGATGCCCTTCAGGAGCAAAGGATGAACAACAACCAATCTTAGCCGTTTTCCTCCCCCTTGAAAGGCTCCCAAGAAGCAAGAATGACCAGTTCAGGGCCTCACGGTTTATTTTTCCCAAAACAGTTCTGACAAGATGCAGTTTTATCCACTGTACCACTATAATTAAATATGTCTAATTGAAAAATTACTTCTGATGAAAGTCCCATTGAACAATGTATTTGCTGGATGTAGAACCTGAGTTACTTTCTGGTATTCTTGGCCAGCAAGTAATTCCACAGAAACACAATATCATGATGCCTTAAAATAGTCATTGTAACCTTCACTCAGCTCCCCGAATGCTTAATAGAAAGTTAAACAAATTGTGTCCACAGTAGAGATGGGAAAACAGAGGAACAGAAAGCTTGCAGCCCTTGCATGTTGTCATATCCAGAGCCAGTAACATAGCTGGACCAAGAATATCTTCCTATTTCTGAATCAAGGTCTTGACATGAATCTTCCAGGAAAGTGGAGAGTGATGAGCAGCAGGGTTCAAGCCCTGGGGGTGTCAGCCACTGCCAGGTGGCATATGCCAGGGACCTCTGCCTCAAGCCCTGTTTCTTTTTGAAACTGCTTTCTCTTTTGACCTTATTAAACCTCCATACCTCCTCTCTTCCTCCTACCGTTCCTCTCTCCTTTAACCCTTCTTTGTCTTGCCTACTTCAGAATTTTATCCTTTAGCCAATCAGATTACCAGTTGGAACTTACTCAGCACTCCCCTTTGTAGGGGAGACAAAGCATAACACAGCTTGTGGTCAGAAAGATTGGACACACACAACTCACGATAAACAATAGTAATAGTAAATAAATAATATAATAAATAAATATACAAATATAAATAATGATGATAATAGCTAGCATTTATGTAGCACCTACTGTTAGCCTTCTAACTGGTCTCTTAGCTACAAGTCTCTCCCTGCTCCAGATCCATCCTCCACTCTGTCAAGAGAATTTTTCCAACAAGTAGGTCTGATCAGGTCCCCCCTCCCTACCTTGTTCAGTGACCTCCAGTGATGCCCTCTTACTTCTAGGATCAGAAATAGAGTCTTCTGTTTGGCATTTAAGGCTCCTCATAACCCAGCCCCTTGTTTCCTTTCCAGTTTTCTCAAACCTTACCTGCCTCTACCGTTCTACAGTCTAGCTCTCCTAGCTTTCTTGAATGGACCCCTCCATCTCTTTTCTCCAGAGTGGCTATTTCCATAGTGCTCTGCCCCATCACTTCTAACTCTTAGTTTCGATGCCTTCTTTAAACACTCAGATCAAAGCCCACTTCCTGCAGGAGGTCTTTCTGGTCCCCTCAGCTGCTAATGCTTCCCCTTTTGAATTACTTTGTAGCTACTGCCTCTGTCTCTGTTGTATCTACCTAGTATATATTTGGAATATGTCTACTTATTTACATGCTGACTCCTCCCATTAGAATATATGCTCTATGAGGGCAAAGACTGTGGCATTTTTTGTTTCTTTTTGTTTCTTTGCCTTTTTTGTTTTCCCAGCACTTAGCATATGCCTGGCACACATATACACGCTTGTTGACTAACTCTTAAGTGCTACCTTGCACGTGAGTCCTTTCCTGACTCCTTAGCTGCTAATGCTCCTCACCTCTTTCTCTTTTCTTTGTTTTAATTATCTGTACATATTGTCTCTCTCAATAGCATCGAAGCTTCTCTGGGGCAGGGGCTATTATTATACATCTGTCTTTCTATTCCCTGTGCCTATACCACAGTAGTGAATACTCAATAAATGCTTTCTGATTGAGTGGTCTCCAAAGAAGATGTTTGGGAAGAAATGGCACTTAGTCTGGGTCTTAAGAGACTGTTAGCTTTTGAAAAAGCAGAGGGGGTGGGGAGGGGTATTTTGGGCAGGGAAATGGAAAGGCCAAAGCTTCAGAGGTAGAGAAGGACAGGGTGGGGATGGTGAGTTATTCTCCCAGAAAATGTCCTAGGGATCTAGAGGATGTGTTCATTTGGGATAGGAGGTTTGGAATAGTGAGCTTTGTTCCTCCTCCGTTAGTCTTGGCTATAATCCAAATGTAGTCACTATTTACTACTGCTCTAAACACCCCCCCCATCTTCTCTCCTCCCAGTGTGATCAGTACAAGAAGGGGATCATCTCTGGTTCTGCCTGCTCCGATCTGTGTGATGAGCACACCTTGGTGTTCCAGCAGTGCCTCTCCCCATCTCCCACGAAGCAGGTAAGGCAAGACGGGGCCACTAGAGCTCAGGCCAAAGTTGTCTACAAAAAGAAGTTAGCTGGGGATCGGAGGCATTTCAAATGGGGAAAAGATCAATACCTAAGGCACAAAAAGTCCCCAGTCCCTAATAGATGCGGGTGGTGATGGAAGACTGTGTCAGAATTTGAAAGGATTTCCTTGGCCTTTTGCCTTCAGCTTCTTGGGATGACTAAAATTAACAGAAGTAAGTTTTGAAGGCGGTGATTTAATCTCCATGTGTTTGTACTCCCAATCCCAGAAACAGACCAAGCCCCAAACTCAGACACAGACTGAGACCTGACTTTGGCCACAAAACTAACCCCTAGTTTCAGCTGAATGGATTCTTCACTCTCAGCAAGGACTACCTTATATAATTTGTCTTCATGCCACTGACCAAAAGTAAGATCCTAATTAGAGACTATATAGCTCACTGCCAGAAGGAACTCAAAGCCCATGTCATACTGTCCAATGCTGTGTCAAGAGCCTCATTATACTGTAGCAAGGATACTCAACTAATCATAGACTGCTGTTCCAAGTCGTGATCCTTGTGGGGCTGGAGACCTAATGATTTGCATTGGAGATTGCCGCCTGCTGTCTTTTTATTTTCCTTACTAGATGCTAGCAGGAAAAAGGAAGGCTACAGAAGGAGGTTCTCTGGACTGAGAGGTTTAAACTATCTAGTTCCCATATCCCTACTTGCCCACTGAAAGGGAAGAAAACCCAGGAGAATCTGTATTCCTGATGGCCCCAGCTATCCCTTTATTACTCCTTATTTATTCCTCATTCAGCTGTGGAGCTGGAAATTATTAGGAATATATCCAATGATTCTCATAGGTGCTTTTTCTTAAGGCCTACTTTGGTGGGTGTGAAGGGAGAAAACGTTTCTACTTGGATGGCTCCTCAGCTCTTTTTTCCTTTGTACCAGGTGTACAGTGGGGTGTGGAAGGGGAAAGCGGTGATCATCAAATGTGGCATCACAGAGGCCTTGAAAGCTGAGAACAATCCCGACACAGGCCCCCGAAGAGAACTGGTTCTGTTTGATAAGCCAACAAGAGGCACATCAATGGACGAGTTCAGGGAGATGCTTCTGAATTTTCTCAAAGTTAGTTGATTTGTGAGGGCTGAAGATCTGTCTTTTGTTTTTCCATTAAGGCCTGAGCACTTGACCCTGGGCACTTGGGTTTAGGGCTCTGTGCCCTAAAGAGCCCAGGTCCAGGGGCAGAGCTAGTTGTGTTTGTGCTTGGGGCAAGCTCTGAGAATGCACTCATCTCCCACTCTCAATCCCAACTGTAACCTCCGCTGTCTCTGACCTTTTCCCTCTCTGACCTGTTCTTCCTCTGTCCCATCTGATGTTGGTCTCTTCCCCCTGTTGTCTCTATCTCTAACCTTCATCTATCTCCCAGCACATGTTTGGCAACGCTGACTGGGTGTCAGCAGAACCTAAACAAAGCCAATCATCAGAGGCAAAAAGGTCCATCTAGTATTTCCAGCATTGATTGGGTGGTTTCTGGGGAGGCAGATTTATAAATTGTTAGAGCTAGAAAAAACTTCAGAAATCACCTGGTTCAACCTCTTCATTTTATAGATGAGGAAATGGAGGTCCAATAAGGTAACGGGACTCACCTGAGGTTATACAGTGAGTTAGTGTCACATTTGGAACTGGAACCCCGGTAGGTCTTGAGGGCTAGTCCAAGGTTTTCTGCCACTTTTCCTCTTACTAAAATGTGCACAATCACTTCTGGTCCTACCTGCCTTATAGGGACACAATGGGAATGAGGCAATCTAGGGGAAGCACTTTCCCAACAGTAGTTCATTATTTTTTTTTCAATTAAGTATTTGTTATCTGTCTCTCCCACTTCCTTGCCTCTATTGGAAAAAGAAGGAAGGAAAGAAGGGGGGGAGAGGGAGGAGAGGGAGGAAGAAAGGGAAAGAAGGAAGGAGGGAAGGAAGGAAAGGATGGAAAGGAGAAAAAGAAGGAAGGAGAGAGGGAAGGAGGGAAGAAGGAAGGAAAATCCTTTGCAACAAGTATGCTTATTAAAAAAAATTCCCACATTAGCCATGTCAAAAAACAGATCTATTCCACATCTTGCATCCTTGACTTCTATATTAGGAGGTCAATAGTATCCATCATTATTGGATCCCCTGGAATCATGGGTGGTCATTGCATTGACCTTAAGTTCTTAAGGCTTTCAAAATGTTTGTCTTTACAGTGTTGTTGTATAAATTGTTCTCTCTTAGTTCTCACCTCACATTGCATCAGTTCATGTCTTGCCAGGTTTCTCAGAAACTGCTTCTTTCATTATTTCTCTTGGAACAATAGTATTCCATCATATTCATAGATGATAATTTATATAGTCATTGCCTAACTAATGGACAACCCCTTGATTTTGCAGTCCTGTCCTACTACAATGAGTGGCTATAAATATATTTGTACTCATGGGTCCTTTTGCTCTTTCTTTGATCACTTCAGGATATGGGCCTAGCAGTGGTAGTGACTGGTCAAAGGGGATGCACCGTTTTGTGATTTTGGGGGCATAGTTCTAAATTGCCTTCCAGACTGGGTTGTATCAATTCACAGCTCCACCAACAGTGCGTTTACGTGCCTGTCAGCCCTCTGTCTTTTTCCTTTTTGGTAATCCAATGGGTGTGAGCTAGAACTTCAGAATTATTTATATTTGTTTATCTATAATTATTAGAAATTTGGAGCATGTGAAAATATAATTATTTATAGCTTGGATTTCTAAGAGCAGTCCATTCTAAACACATTTTTGAGATCTTGGAAAAAAATTCCCTGGTGTGGTAGAGAGAGCATTTTATGAATGTTAGAAATGGAAGAGACATTTAATATTGCCTACTATGATGATTAGCTATGAAAGACTCAGCTGCTCTGATCAATATAGTGATCCAAGACAATTCCAAAAGACTCATAATGAAAAATGCTATCCACCTTCAGAGAGAACTGATGAACTGAGTGCAAACTGAAGTATAATTTTAAAACTATTTTTCTTGCCTTTTTTTTTACAAGATGGTTAATATGGAAATTGTTTGCATGATTTCACATGTATAATTGATATCATATTGTTTACCTTCTCAATGGGTGGAGGAGCAGCTGGAGGGAATTTGGAACTCAAAATTTTAAATAAACGAATATTGAAAAAAAATTTTTTTTAAAAAGATCATCTAGTATAATATCCTTGTTTTGCAAATGAGGAAACGAAGGCCAAGAGAGGAGTAGGGAGTGACTTATCCAAAGCCATTCAGTAAGTGAATGGGTTGGCAGAGCTATAACCCAATTATCTGGACTTGCAGTCTGGTGTAGCATTATCTACTTTTTCCGTGGGTTTTTTGTCCTTTCCCCCTACGGGACTATGAATGCCACAAGATCAGAGTCCCTCCTTTTAACCTCTGCATCTCCCACAGTACTGAGGACAGGGGCCTGCTCACAGTAAGCATGCAAGAAATCTTGTTTACAGGCTGATAGGTTGGGTGGGACCAAGTTAAGGAGGGCCTGGGAAGCCAGGCAGAGCCCTGCCCAGTGGTTTCTTAATCTTCTTGGCTTTTGTCCATTGCACAGCTTTAACTGGTTTCTTTGGTTCCATCTGGCAGGCTAACCTTGGAGATCAGCCTTCTCTCACTGGCCTGGTTGGCCAGATCATCACCATGGCAGATGTCAACCAGGACGGGAAAGTGTCTCTTGCAGAGCCAAGTCCATCTGGGCCCTGCTGCAGCTCAATGAGTTTCTACTCATGCTGTCCCTGCATGAGAAGGAGCATACATCCAAACTCCTAGGACACTGTGGAGATCTCTACCTCACGGAGAAGATCCCCCACAGCTCCTTGTATGGCACCGAGGTGCCTCCCTTTCTGAGGCCGCTGCTGCCCTCTGCTATCCACAGGATCGTCCAGCAGTGGTTTGCACCAGCTTGGCCTCGAAGGGCCAAGATTGCCATTGGCCTTCTGGAGTTTGTGGAAGAGGTCTTTCATGGCACCTATGGGGTCTTCTACATCTGTGAGACTAGTTCTGCCAATGTGGGCTACAATGCCAAGTACGACTTTAAGATGGCTGACCTGGGAAAGGTGGCCCCTGAGGCAGCAGTCCGGGCCTTTCTCAAAGGCCGCCACTGTGAGCAGAACGCTGACTGCACTTATGGCCAGGACTGCATGGCACCGTGCGACAAGCTCATGAAGCAGTGTAAGAGTGACCTGATCCAACCTAACCTAGCTAAAGTGTGTGGCTTGCTGAAGGATTACCTGTTGTCAGGCACTCCTGCAGACCTCAAGGATGAGCTCCAAAAGGAGCTCCAAATCTGTATGACTCTGAGTGGCCTGGCCAGCCAGATGGAGGTGCACCATTCATTAGTGCTCAGTAACCTCAAGACTTTGCTCTGGAAAAAGATATCTAATACCAAATATTCCTAAAGGGATAAGGGCTTGTTCTAGTCGCAGCCCACCTCTGCTGTCCTTTGTGGATAAAGTCGCATTACAACAAAGGGTTCTGTAGGACAAACATCTCCACATCCCGACGGAGAGCCCATAGTAACAGAGCTCTGTTGCTTGGGCTACAACAAATTCTATGCCACAGGTAGATTAAGTGCTTTCTCTAATGTCTATCCACACCATAGCTACTTTCTATCAGGAAAGGTTTTGGTGAGAGGAGAACTGAATTCTTTTCTTTTGTCCTGTCATCCAAATAGCAGTTGTCATTTTCACAACCATGGCAAGCACCTAACGAAATTCATCCAAACTCCCCAAACACAGTTGAAACAAGACAAGAGTTTGAGGATCTAAAAGACCAGAAAGGAAGGAATGGGATATGTGGACTTAATCACCACTACCCCATCCTCTCCTTTCTGGTACTGAATACAAAACATTTGTCACTTGCTAGAGGTCAGCTTTCATCTCCAGCTCTAGAAGACATTGATTTTTAACAAAAATTGAATATAACAAAAACAATTAGGATCCCTTCCTGGTCCCCTCCCCCCACAAAAATTTATTGTTTACCTGTCTCTGCTTTCCCCTCTTCTCCTTCACTAGAGAAAGCTTTCCATCAACAGAAGGTTTTCATAAGTTATAAACCTTTACATCCATGGAAAAATGTACCTGTAATCTTTACAAGATTATTGCCCTATGCCCTTCAGACATCCAGGTCAATGGTGTGAGAACTTGGCAACCATAGCTAAAAGGCTGGTGTAGGAAGTAGAAATCAACTGTGCAGAGGAATTAGTCTTAACTGTGCAATCTTTCCCCATTAAGGAAAGCTCTGTATTAGTATAGACCAAGGGAATCATAATGCTGTTTTTACAAAAAAATTTTATGTTGAATACTGATGTAAATAAATAGCTTTTATGTGACTGCCACTGGTTTATCTGAGCTGCCACCATTGTTTGAGACAACTGCTCCTAGGAGTTTTCTTGGGCACAGCACTGTTCTTTTTATCACTGTGGGCAAACTATCTTACCCACACCTAGTTGACATGCCATAGTGGCATTCCCTTCCACCCTAGTCTTCTCTGTTCTGGGTTATTCAGGGGACTCATGTGGGTTGGAGGGTTAAGTTGTAACTTTAGGACCCCATTGTTTTCCCCTGTTGGCAAATATTGTCCTTCAGTTGGGCAGGTCTCTTCAGCTCCCCTTGCTTGACTCACTTACCCAGTCTTTGAGAAAGGTTAAATAGGTACCTTCAAATCCTTCCAGGTTTCTCTGACAAATCTGAGCTGGGTAAATCTGTAGTTTCTTTTTGGGGTAGTTTCAGCTACTACTAAAATGGGGCTTATAGATACAACTGATGTCCAAGTAGCCCAGTGTATCCTCAAAAGGAGAGGGAACCTTGCTAAGAGGCATGTTTGGAGGTGAAGATGTTTGGGGAAGGGACAGGACTTCACCAAGTTTTGCATGAAGATACAGAACAGAAACTTCCTCCTGTTAGCTGGGAGGATTAATAATAATAAAGTCTTTTTTGTGTTACTCAAGATATTATACAAATCTGAGCCTTGGTTTTAAAATTATTACATCCATTCATCTCAACTGCAATGACCTACAGGGAGATGGATGGCCTCTACATTATTCCTTGCACAACAATCTAGCACCAGAGTTGAATGCAAAGCAACATTATAGATTTCAGCCAGTCTCCCTCCTCCCATTTCTGGTAGTTTTCCCCTTTGCTTTATTAAAGCCCCCTCCCCCACTCCCATCCCCTACTTCCTCCCTTTCTGTGGAGACTCCAAGTTCTCATTAACATTCAAAATGATTGGTTCCCCTGGATGAGGGACTACACTGGCTGTGCTCCTACTTATAACAGCTTACTGAAATGAGGCTGAGACACTATCATGGAAAGCTCTTTGAATGCACTCCAAGGTAAAGTCAGGTGATTAAAGTAAAAATTCTAAGTTAGGGACTATTCAAAGGCTGAACTCTCATTTTCTAAATTTTGCAGAGACCATTATTAAATATCTTCGGCATTATTTATGGGTTTTGTATTAATGAGAACTCCCATCTTAAATCTACTGGGCAGGAAGTTAGAACCAGCTTGATTTGGAAAGATGGGTATTGGAAAAGTAACTACCTCCTCTTGCAAAGAGGATTATTAGTCCTGCTCTGAGGGTGACCATCATCTGGGTGATGCTTCAGAGCCTTAATGATTTCTAATAAAGCCCCTGTGTGCTCAAAATAAGGTCTTGGGACACTGAAGGGGCCTGCAGAAGGCTGCCTTGAGCAACATTAGACTAAACTGGAAAAGCTGGACTGAGACCATTAGTATAATCTCATTACTCCCCTCACCATGACTGTTTTGGCAATTTCTAAGGCCAAAGACAAAGAATCACTCCATTTGTCCAAGGAAAACTTGTATACAATAGACTAACAGGAAAAAACAAAAATGTCAAAACTTGTTGGACTTGAAACAGAACCCACTAGTGTGCAGTGGAAAGCACTGGACTTAGGGTCCAAAGTTGTTGTTGAGTTGTGTCTTACCACATTTGGGGTTTTCTTGGCAGAGATACTGGAGTGGTTTGCCATTTCTTTTTACAGCCTCATATAACAGATGAGGTAACTGAGGCAAAACAGGGTTAACTGACTTGCCCAGGATCACACAGCTAGTAAGTATCTGAGATGGGATTTGAACCCATGAAAATGGGTCTTCCTGATTCCAAGCCCAGTGCTGTATCCATTGTACCACTTAGTTATCTGGGCTCCAAAGACTGGAGTTTAAAATTCAACTCTGCTGCTTACTGTGTGACTTTGAATAAGACATTTAATCTTGCTGGGCATCGGGTTTCCTCATCTGTAAAATGAGCTCTAAAATCTGAACCGATATTCATTCTAGTAGCTACCACTATTAAACAGCTTCTACATTTTGGACCCTGCAGGGTTCCACCCTTAGTTGATCTGATTTATTTCCTTTGAGAGCAGCCAGGTGACACAGTGGATAGAGTGCAGGGCCAGGAGTCAGAAAGAACTGAGTGCAAATTTGACCTCAGACACTTATTAGCTGTGTGACCCTGGACAAGTCAGTTAACCCTGTTTGCCTCTGTTTTCTCATCTATTATATGAGCTGGAAAAAGAAATGGCAAACCAGTCCAGTAGGACACGACTGAAACTGAACCACAACGACAATCTTCTTTGAAAACCTGTAATCTACATGTGATCCATATTCACATACCTCCCCCCCATAAACATGTATTGTATGCAAAAACATATTAGAATACTTGGATAGTTATATGATCCATAGATCATCTCTAGGTGAAAAAATTGGGTCCTAAGTATTCTATGATTCTACAGACAAAACTCCAAAACACCCCTGCCCTCTACCTAATTTTGCTGTCTATCTCTGAACTGAAAAAGCATTCTTTGGGTAATATATATATTTTTTATTTTTAACTACTAGTTAATGTAAAATTCATGACCCACAAATACTAAATACATATATGCACATATACATGGTGTCAAAACTTTTTTCTTCCCACCCTTGTAATGATCCCTCAACGACAGAATTTTAGTAAGCTGTACCCATGATGCAAGTTTATTTTTCATTTCCATTTGGTAAACCATATTTAACTCTTTTCCCAGTAAGAGACACACAAATACAATAGTGGGAGAGGTGTGAAGACTACCCCCACCCAATAGAGCAAGCTGTTTTTTTTGTACTGACTCAATCAGATTGTAATGAAAATTCAAAGCAACATGCAAAGGACCAATTTATTCTCCAGTTTTGCCAACTTTAAAATACAAATGCTTCTTCCTTGCAGGAAAAATACACTAAGCATATTTCATCCATTTTCTTTAATACTTTAGACCTAAAATACCTTCATCATGACAATTTTTTTTAAATCACCTTCTAGGTTTTCAGTGCCAATTTTCAACTCAATATTTTTATCCAGGTTTTTAAAACAAAATTTAAAAGCTTCAAAGTACTTTTTGGAAATTTCAACATAATTCAAGTATAAAAACTCATTAGCTATCTATTATGTTGAATGCCAGTCAAAAATTCTGCTTATCATACATATCAAACATCTTGGCTGGCTACCCACATTCAAAGAATCAGAAAAGTAGGGTGAGATATAGTACAGGAGAGGTACATTCCAAGCTGAATAAGGGCTTCTTTAAAGCAGATGGGGATATGCATAAATTCTCACTGTAATTGGCTATCTCATGACACTATGCAGCACCATGGATTTTGTGGGTACTTAGATCACAAATACCTAACAAATACCAATTATCACTTTATGACACTCAGACACTTAACTGTGACCAATCACTTTTGCAAGTGAGGATGCAGATTAAGAGGAAACTGTACTTATCTCCTGACATAGCTTAGGAGCTGTTTTTTTTTTTAAGATAAATCCTTGTTATCAACTTCTATCTTTGCAAAATATATAGAATACCAGACATGCAACTGTATGAGCTCCTGGGGAATGTAACAGGATTGCCTTTCTACAAGCTTGTAAGAATTGCATCAAAAGCAAAAAAGGCATCTCCCCAAAGTCATCATTGTATTTACTATCATCTTTGGGATATGAAATGTAACTGTATCCTCAATGTCACCTTCAGCTCACTGGTCTATTTCCTTAGGTTTGTCAACTGGGAGAGGATTCTTTCATAATTTCATGGCACTGTGCCAAGGACTCCCCACCCCAAACCCTCAAGTTCCTTTGAAGACATTTCTGAAAACATTTCCAGTGGCCACAGTTTCCTCCAGACTCTCAAGGTTCCACTTGTAACAGAACTCCTAGCATAAGCAACATTAAAAATGGCATCTTTTATGCTGTAACAAGATTGAAAGTCTGGCCGCCTGCCTTCATAATTTATCAGTGAACCTCAGGGAATCTTCTAGGTAATGACATTCCACATTTTGAATAATGCCCTGGTTCATAGGTTGAATCAATGAGGGTACATGGCAGATAAAAAGATGGCTGCATGATGGTGGAGTAGTCTGGGACCCACAGGCAGCAGAAGCCTGCTGCTCCCAAAGGGCCCATAGCTCTTTCTTGGTCTGAGGCTGCTCTAAATGAGCAATGCTGTGTATCTGGTCTGGTGAGAGGCACCAAATGACCAGAGGTAATGAATCGAGGGGAGAGAGACACCTGGAACTTCTAATGGCTAACTTTCTATCCTAGGTTGTGCAAAGAAATCAAAAGGGCTATGGAATCCTCCTAACACAAAGCCAGGTCAGAGGAACAAAGTGGATTCCTGGGAAAGGTGGAAGAATTGCAGATCTCATTGTAACTGGCTAGAAAAGATGATAGGGAGGGAGACAGGTCCAGGTGTATTGTTCTTCTTTGAGGGTAAAGGCAAACAAAAACTGGCTATCTGGGTGGATGGGATGTTGAAAAAGCCATAGCACAAATCAGCAACTGAGAATTAGGACAGAGCTGGTGGGACAGACTTGTCACGGGTTTGGGGACCATAGGGGATACGAGGACCATGAAGGATTAATGAATCTGAGGGGTTTTTTTGGCTAGGCAATGGGGTTAAAGTGACTTGCCCAGGGTCACACAGCTAGTAAGTATTACGTGTCTGAGGCCGGATTTGAACTCAGGTCCTCCTGAATCCAGGGCTGGTGCTCTATCCACTGTGCCACCTAGCTGCCCCTAATGAATCTGAGATCTTGAACAAAGTGATAAACTTGTTTCTCTTCATATGTAAGCTTTCCAGGTTTGGGGACTGGTAGGGTAAGGGTACTGTAAGGAGATCTGATCCTTATGAGGTAAGTCCCCTCATGGGGCAAAGGATATTGTTGGTGCAAGATGGGACAGGTGGTCCTTACCGATGGGATCTCCTGACATAGTCTCCCCTAAGGCCCCAAGTAGGTCAAGGGAAAGCCAGTGGCTCTCCTTTAGAAGGGCTGGAGCGCAAGAAAAGCAAGGGGACAGGGAGATCTGGGATTTTCAGTTTAAGCCCTCCTCCATACACTGACTGTATTGAAAACCCCAAGAGATCTTGTCCCACTAAGTCAATGGGGGTACCTGGGTTCATATGGAACCTTGATTGTTCTTCCTGGTATAGAGATGAATAGGGGCACAGATTAAGTTTGCCTCCAACTCCAACAACCAAGACAGAATCGTTGAAAAGGGCCGAGGAAGTGGAAGGCATCCATGCATAGCAGACACCTGGTAGCACTGCTATGCACCAGATGTGGGGTAAATTTTCCCTTGATCTGAATAGGTGTGGAGGGGGAGAGTGGTCAAGGGGAAAAGCTTTGTGAGGTCTTCTCTGTCTGGCTCTCAATGGGTTTTCTTAGGATTTGGTTACCTCTGTACAGGGTAATCCTTTGTACAACGGCTTCTGCTTATACTAACCACGTGTCTCTGCGGAGACTGGAGTGTACTCATCTGCTTTTCTGTCAAAGGACCTCTGCCTGCTGTAGTTGCAGCACATTCCCTTTTTAGACTTAGCCTTAACTAGTTAAGACCAGAGGCAACTTGCAGTACTTCCTGTGGTCTTCTAAGCGTGTCTCTAAGGCTGTGGATGAAATGA